GAAAAGAACAAAAACCCTAAAGGCAATACCATAACTTCAGGGTCGAGAACACAACCTCGGACGCGACAAAACAACAACCAAAGGATGCGCGAACTACCCCAGACAAAAGAAAACAAAAAAACGTTTAGTGGGTAACGAAATTCAGCCGTATCGAAACCTGAACAATGCCAAAGAATCGAGCAAACAGAAAAGAATGCAGAACCCACATGCCCAACACAGGAGCAATGCGAGAGAATGCTAAAGGGCTTACTAATGGAGACGAGGAAGGCGAGGAATGGCGGCGAAGCGCTTGATGGGTGGTCGCCGAAACTGGAAACGAGAGAGGTTTTAGTGGTTCGGCTTTCGAGTGGGGAGGGAGGGGAGTGAGCGAGGGGACTCTCGCGGTGGGTCGCTGCGTTTGATGCTTTGCTTTAATGCTTTACCAAAATATATGTTTGGTCTGGCTTGTTTGGCTGATAACGAAGGTCTCCACACACCCACACCCGCCTCCAAAATATCCCGGCACCAAGAAGCAAGGAGCAATCCTATCAAATTATACCTGAACTACACAAAAAAAGGAGAGGACATTCTGCCGTTGTGCTGAGATTCGGGCCGGCCGGGCTGGGATTTTCGCTTGAATATGAGCCCGCCTCGAACATTGCCGGACCTAAAACTTTTGGCTCCAAGAGTCGGCTCAAAGAGAATCGACCCAGGCTGGTCCGGGTCGGTTCGAGGTAAGCTCAAATGTCATGTTTTTTCAATGGAGGGATAATAACATAAATGGTTCGTGAACTTTGTTCCAATGTACAATGTCGTTCCTAAACTTTTAATTTTATTTAATGTGGTCTCTAAATTTTGGTTTATGCTCAATCTAATCCTCGAACTATATGGAAATTTTAAATGTTGTCCCTGAACTTTAATTAATGGAATAACAATGTTCAACATATTCATATAGTATAAGGACTAAATTGAACATATACAAAAAGTTCAGGGACTACATTGAACAATTTTAAAATTGAAGGACGATATTGCACATTGGGCTATAGTTTATGGACCATATTGAATAATTTCACGAACCACATCGCACATTATTTTTGTCATTTTCCCTTTAATGATAAAAATAATTGTTAGGTCATTGATCTTTCCCAAAAATCAACAAATGAAACAAGGCACCTCGGACATATCTATGTACGAAAAAACGAGGTCATTCGAAGATAAGGGAGAGGATTTTAAAGAATGTCTCATATTAAAATGGATTAGGGGTAAATTAAAAGGGATTAGTGCTAATTAATTAATTAATTATTTATAATATCTTCCTCCTAATAAGGAGGAATTTGGAGCTATTGGTACTGGTAATACAAAAATTAATAATCTTCTTCTTTTCCACATATGTCCTTGTTTTTATCTTTAACTGCAAATACATAAAAGAAATTTGAATCCTTATGTATTGATTTCCGTTCGTTCCGTGGTTAGCATCCAAATGACATTACGATTCAATCCATCATTCATTTTTTTTTTCTCTCGTAATTATCTGAATTTCTTCCCTTTCTTTTTAATAACCTTTATCAAATGGCAAAAAAATCAATAAATTATACACCCAAATCGAATCAATAGCAACTCAGCACTTAGCCAGCACAACAGCCAATTCAACACGCTAAAATCCTCCACATCCAATACCCCTCTCAAAAACTAGGTTGCTCTCTGCGGTGGTGGTGGTCGACTCGTGGAGGTGCGATTTGAACTTTGCGGCTGGTTTTGACCGCGAGGGGTGGCGATGGCGGTGGCTTGGTTGATCGGTTGAGGTGGTCCACCCGGCATAACCGCATTTCAACCAACCGACTAATTTGCCTCTCCGGGGATGAAAACCCATGATTTGATCTGCTGGCTTGAACGCCTGGATTGTGCCGAGAAGAGAAGGTGAAGAAAAGACTGTCGGAACCGATCGGAGGAGTATTTCAGAGTGCATCCCCGTTCGATTATTATTCTTTCGGCCCGTATTGCCACATTATCGAATACAATTTCTCGGCAAAAGGACACTATAAGTGCCATAACTTGTGTACGGAGATCACTTTGGTGCCATAACTTTTTTTCGGATCACTTTGGTGCCAAGTCGGAGGAAAAACGATCACTTAAGTGTCATAAGTTTTTTTTGGATCACTTCAGTGCTAAAATTTTTGAAAAACGATCACTTAAGTGCTAAAATTTTTTAAAAACGATCATTGAAGTGCTAAAAATTTTTAAAAACGATCACTTAAGTACCAATCTCCGGTGAGCCTCCGGCGAGCCACGTCAGCTTCAGAAATTAATAAAAAAAATGCCACGTCGGATTTCCGGCGAAAAATTGTGTACGGCACCAGAGTTGGCACTTAAGTGATCGTTTTTCAAAAATTTTAGCACTAAAGTGATCCAAAAAAAACTTATGGCACCAAAGTGAACGCCGTACACAAGTTATGGCACTTGTAGTGTTCTTTTGCCCAATTTCTCTTTATCTTTCTTTGTAGTGAATTCAAATCTAATGTTATGTCCGTTATTGTAGTGTTCTAACCGAAGAGTATCTACTCTCTCGAGGAAAGCTTTAGCAAAACCAACGGAAGCTTTCGGTTGTCATCTTGCTGACCTTCTTTGGTTTGTGCTTTTGTTTCTTTGCATCTTTAGGTGCTATTGATGTATTTCAGGGCCTTCTTTCAAAAACTGGAATTTATTTAACTACTCGAGGTCTCTATTCTGTATTACTCCAGATTGGGTGCTCTTCTCCTCTGGCCTTCGTACTTGTTTTTACTATGAAGGTCCCTTATTAATGAGTTTGCCGAATCCATTAAGATGATGGCACCTACTAGGTCAGATTCAGGAGCCTCGACCTCCTCCTTCCCCAAGCTAGAATGGGAAAGGGCTCTCAAGGAATTCTAGGTTGGTGGCATCCCCGCTTCGCTTATTTTCTTCAAGAAAGAACAAAAGAAAGACCAGTAGTATCACCTCTGCTTCCTGCCCTATAACCTAAAAAGGAATCTTTCAATCTAACTAACCGAGGAAGGCCTGGAACTTACTATTGGAATTTAAAGAAAGAGCTTTTATATAAAGAAGTGGCATCAATTCATTGAATCAAGCTTTGCGTATTCTTCGGCAACGCGTACTCTTTGTCGACTCTATCTCTGTTAGTATTAAGTATTAACAGTTAATAATATAAAGACTCGATTGCAGTTCTAAAGGTTGGAGGGTTAGGCACAGGTGCACATTCCTCAACCTCAGTAGTTTCAAGCTAGGGTAGTTCCTGCTGGGGCAGCACGGGTGAGCAACCACCACACGGTGGTTGGCTATGGCTGGTGGCATGGCCATTGAGTGGAGAGGAGAGACCGTCACAAGGATTTACGTGGATTATACGACTTGGATATTTATCCGTTATAATAAGATTAATCAAGATTGTTGTTTGTTTATGGATGTTATAATTAATCTTTGGATAGATAATATTTGTTAAGAATCATAGATTGGAGGGCCAAAAAGTAAAAAAATAAAATGAAAAACTAAGTTCTCTTCAAGAAAACATATCCTTAATGGCAATTCAGTAAATAGCTGAAACTGTAAAGGGTAGAAAGGTAATAAAAAATAAGATTTTGGATCAAAACTAGCGGATAAAAGATTTGTCACAAAGATGAAAATTTGTGTTTTAGTTTGGTACTTTTGAAAGTTGGTATTAAAATTGTCATGGCAACAAAAGTTTGTGGTTTTTATTTGGTTTAGCCTTTTTCCTCAATTCTCTATTATTTATTTTCCCTTCCTTTGATTAGAATTTCCTATCAATAATAATGACTTCATGGTTGCTCGGCAGATCTCTTTTACAATTTTAGGCTTCGTTTGTTTCGCGAAAAATAAATAATTTAGAAAATATTTTCTTAAAACTAGTTGCTTATATCGCTTGAAATAATTGGTCGATAAAAAAATTTCATTATCGACAATAATTTATGTCTAAACATTTTCGTGAATGTTAAATATCTTTCATTCGTTCATTTTTGTTCATGAAGCGATTATTTTTAGGAAGATATTTCTCAAATCATTAATTTTTCGAGAAATAAAAGGAACCTTTAACAAGAAATATATTTTACGTTCACAAAATACCGGGATAAAATTAAAAGTTCCTTTTCTAAGTAAGATAGAGAGATAGACAAACAAAAGCAATGTGCATTGATCCCATAACTTGCACAACTCTTTTCGGAGTCCGGCCATTCGTCTCTCCAAAGAAGAAAATGGAACATGAACAATGTTTGGACGGATTATAAATGTAATTGCAATCACAAAGTTTATCCAATAAAGACACGAGCATTGTTAATAACAATAGGACCTAAGCAAGTCCTTAAAAGGTTTCATCTCTCGCCTTGTTCGGACCTCGGGATCCCAAGAATGTAAAATTTCTAAAGGGTATTCCTTTTTTCTGGGGAAGAAAAAGATACGGGGAGAATTGAGGACGCAGGACGTGCGGGCACCGGCATGTTAAAATAAGTAACGCATCCGTGGAGCCCACCGTTCCTGTATATCAAACGGCCAGGCCGTGAAAGCTCCAATGGGAGCGAGAGTTTAAAGGTTCGCCTGACAGACACATTAACACTTCAAGTTCCTTGATTAGCTTGCGCGACCCGTGAATTCTTATATCTGGAATTAGCGCAACAGGTAGAGAACCAATCTCTGATTGAAAAGAGATTGTATATGACCGCAAGTTCGAGTTTTGAGTTGTGTTCTTGTTGTGTTACGTTTAGATTGGTCGTGGTTGGTCACGTTCGAGTTATATTCTCTCTGAAAGGTAGACAGGGGATTGGTTCGTCATGTTCTGTGAAAGGTAGACAGGGGATGAAAGAACGAGTCTTGGTCGTTGCTCAGCAGAAGCCGGGTCCACGTTGACTCAGATTAAATGATACAAAGAGAAAGAGACTCCTCCTGACTTAAATATCTAGGCCATTGCCAACAAGCATCATCCGGTTGATCTTGGAGTGCACAAAAGAAACATTTGCTGTTAACCCTCGTTTTCCCTTGCAATGGCAGAAGCAGCTCTCTTCAGCGTAGCGTCAGAAATCATCAAGAGAGTGGGCTCTTTGATTGTGAATGAGATTGCAGAGCTCTGGGGATTGAAGGATGAGCTCAAGAAGCTAGTCGTCGTCGTCTCCACAATCCGGAATGTCCTTCTTGACGCGGAGGAGGCATACGAGAAGAACCATCAAGTCAAAAGTTGGCTCATGGAGCTGAAACAAGTCATGTACGATGCTGACGACTTGCTAGACGAGTGCACGACTGAGGCCTTGAGAAGGCAGATCTTGGTCAGCGGTGATGCAGCCGATAAGGGGGTAATCAAGAATTTCCATCTCATCTTTTCAAGCATGAAGGATTTCATTCTTGCTATCAAGACACGTCACAAGATAAAAGGCATTAGGGAAAGATTAGATCGTATTGCGGCCAATAGGAAGTTCCACTTAGCTGAGTACCCGTTTGAAACTCGGTTCGTGGTCAGGGAGAGAGAACAGACTCACTCATTTGTCCGTGCTGAGGAGGTCATAGGGAGGGATGATGATAAAATTGCAATTCTAAAGTTCCTACTGATACCTTCCAATATCCAGGAGAATGTATCCATCATTTCTATAATAGGGATAGGTGGCTTAGGGAAAACAACATTAGCACAATTGGTGTGTAACGATGAGCTGGTCAAGAAAAACTTTGAGATCCATATGTGGGTTTGCATCTCGGACGTTTTTGACGTAAAACTAATCCTAGAGAAGATGATAAAGTCCGCTACCGACAAGGATTTACCTCAAAATATGGAGATAGACCAACTGCAGAAGCTCTTCCGGAGGGAAATCGAGGGAAAGAAGTACATGCTTGTCTTGGATGACGTGTGGAATGAAATCCCTACAAAGTGGCTTGATCTGAGGGGACTCCTGATGCAAGAGGAAGCAAAATTCTAATAACAACACGCAGTAAATTGGTCGCGGATAGCGCAGGCGCGGATATCCTGTATTTTTTAGGCAGTCTTTCCAGAAACCAGTCTTGGTCTTTACTGAAACAAATGGCTTTCAGAAGACGAGCAGGAACTCAATGATCCGCACTTGAAAGAGATCGGACTAGAGATAGTAGACAAATGTTCCGGAGTCCCTCTTGCCATAAGGTCTGTTGGAAGGGTGCTATACTCCAAAACAACACTCGCCGAGTGGTCTGACTTTAAGAATAGCAAACTTGCTAAGGTGGCTCTACAAGAAGATGGCATTATTCCAATACTGAAGCTAAGTTATGATCACTTACCATCCCATCTAAAGCAGTGCTTTGCTTATTCCTCTATATTCCCAAAAGACTACAGAATTGATAGGATGGCATTGATCAACCTTTGGATGGCACAGGGATTTATCCCATCATCAGACGTGGATCCGAATAAGGAACGTTTGGGCAATGAGTATTTCATGGATTTGCTGTGGAGGTCCTTCTTTCAAGATGTTCAAGAGGATGAATTAGGCAACATAGTAAATTTCAAAATGCATGACTTAATGCATGATCTTGCTCAACTAGTTGCGGGGACAGAGTGCATGATTGTGGACTTGAGTTCAGGAAAACTTGATGAAAGGGTCCGCCACGTGTCACACAGTTCTAATTTTGATCTATCATGGACGCGGGAAACCTCTTACTCTGGAGCGGACAAACTTAGGTCCTTTCTTCTCCTAAATCAATCCCCTTTCCATAGCATGCCAAATAAGCTATTTTATGACACAGCCATAGGAAGATTTAGAGGCTTGCGTTCTTTGAGTATGAGCAATTCAGGAGTCACCATGCTGCCAATATCCATAAGCAACCTTGTCCATCTGAGATATCTCGATATATCTTGGAATCCCGACATCAAACTGCTCCCCAACACTATCACTGATCTCCTTAATTTACAGACCTTAATACTCACCAGCTGTTATAACCTTGAAAACTTGCCAACACAAATGGAAAAGTCGATCAACCTAAGACATCTTGATATTGATGGATGTGCCAATCTGAAGCAAGTGCCATGTGGATTGGGCAAGTTGCAGTCTCTTCAATCATTAGGCAAGGGTGGTATCACCATTTCCAGGCAAAGCTGTTGGCTCACAGAACTGAAGGACCTAAACAACTTGGATGGAGAGCTGAGGATCGTGGACTTAGGACATGATGATGACGCCACATTAGAATGGAAGGATGTGAACCTGAAAGACAAACAAAATCTTCAGTCCTTGATTGTGGAATGGGGTCCAGAAAGCCATGAAAACGAGGGTGTATTAAATGATGTGATGATGTTGGAGGATATAAAGGCGCTCTGGAGCCTCAAACAGTTAATGATTGAATGGTATGGAGGTGCACGGTTTCGCAAATGGATGGTGGATGATCTGATGTCATACCTCCCCAATTTAGTTAAAGTTCGGCTGGACAGTTGTTTTAGGTGCCAACATTTGCCACCACTGCATCAGCTTGCTTATCTTAAGGACCTCTATCTTGGAGATTTGAGTAACATAGAGTGCATAATAGAATGTGAAGGGGTTGCTGAAGTCAGACCATCAGGGTGTGATTTCTTCCCAGTGCTTGCACAGCTCTGGATTGTCAACATGCCCAACTTGAAGAAATGGTGGCGAAAGGAAGAGGCCAGCAAGGAGTTGCTTCCGTCAATTCCTCACCTTTCTTACCTGGTGATCTTGGATTGCCCCAATTTGTTGTCTATGCCACTACTGCCGAGTCTGGAAAAACTAGACGTTTACGGAGTCAACGAAAAACTATTGTCCCCACAGTCATCAACAGCAGAATCATCTTCCTCCCTTTGCAGATTGAAGAAACTTCGTATTGGCAAAGTCCTTAAAATGGAATCTCTATCGGGGAAATGGCTGCAAAATCTCACTTCTCTTGAGTTCATGTGGATATCAGATTGCCCAAAATTAATGTCTCTGTCCCAAGGACTGTCACATCTCTCTTCGCTTGAGATACTGGGTATTAGCAACTGCAAAGACATTGATTTTAAAGAGGTTGATAGTGGCAGCAGTATGCAATCAAAAGGCTTTCTGAATCTACGTTCTATGACAATTAAAGAAGCAGCAAAACCAGATTGCCTACCACAAAGGCTCGAACAGTTCCCAAATCTAGAAAAGCTTGAGATTGAAAGCTGCAGTGGCTTGGTTAGCCTACCTGAATCGATAGGCAACCTCCAGTCTCTACAACGTATACGAATTTTCGATTGCCGGAAATTAATTTCTTTGCCGACTCCAGTGAGTTCTCTCACTGGTTTGCAAGAGTTGGAGCTTTCTGGTTGTCCCATAGTGATGGCAAAGATGCCAAGGAGAGAGTGTATAAGATTGGCATAAGATTGCTCATGCTCACAATATTATATGCGGTGGATTGGTTCAAGCGAGCGAGTTATAAGAAATCGAGATTTCTTGCAGCTCAAAATTGCGTTCTATTTCAGTCTTTGAACTTCTAGTAATTGCCTGTGATAACTTATAAGTACCCTGTTTCCTTCATTTGTATTCTTATCTTTCAGGTCATTTCCGACAATTATCATTTTTTATGTTACAAAATTTCTAAAATAGAGTGACTAGGCGTAAATTCATATATTTATTGTATGCATGGTGTTGCATGTTGTCAATTAATTTAGTGTTTATTCTCCCTTTTGGAAATATGACATAAACTATTACTTAGAGAAGTATACACTCCATGAAAATTTAACCAATATACGCATAAGATATAGCTTTGTGTATTAACAGATAAGCTCTATCATTCTAACACACATTGGAAGAATCGTTCTTTTGAATGGAAAGGAAAAACAGATAGGATCCCAATTGTTAGATCGGATTGGTAGAATTAGAATATTTCAAAATCAATTACTTACGAAGAATTCCATCTCAGAAAGTCAGGTCTTTAAATCCTGATCATTCTATTTTTAGGTAGGATGTCCGTCCAAATGAACCAAATTAGATCTACTGAACTATGTTTTCCTGTTTTCATGTAATTTTTTTTGCATATAATTTATCGTTAGATATTAGTTAACTAATGCTATTATCAATCAACTTTTCTTATTTATGCTAACACTCAATTTTCCTTCCTGAATAAGCTTTGAAGTGCTCCATCAATTTTCCTTTCTTAAATCATTTTTTCGTTCTCGATTTGAGTAAATTCATGGTTTTCAAATGGAGAAGCCAATTCTACTTTTCTCAAAACTAAGTGATAGTTATTGCTTCACCAAAATAAGAAAAGAAAATTTTAGATAACTGATGAACTTTCAATGCATTTCTACACTGAAGTATTCACTAAGCAGCTAATTGCATGAAAAGCTGACCTTTCTCGCGAGAAATCCTCTTCAATGACAGTGGAACTCTCGTTCCAAGTCCAACAGCATGTCACATATCATCAGAAGTCAAAGACCAAAAGTGACTCATTTTTTTTGGTCCTCGATCCTCATAGCAGTTTTTTGTTTTTGGCCAGCATCCTCATAGCAGTTATTGTTGGCTTAGCCAACAATAACTGCTTTCTGTGGGAAAGTACTGTGAAACAAAGAAGGGCTTCCAAGGAGAACTTTGTAATTGAGGGATTGTAAATCACGGGAACAAGATTTTTTAGACCAAAAAAGAGAACGAAAAAAGTAAATCACAAGAAGTAGATACGCCAGAGTAGATCCACTCAAGAAAGGGTATTTCAATCTGTTCCATTAGCGGCTGGGTAAATTAGTCAAATAGCATCACCCGGAGATATATGAGGATAGATACAGATGACATTGGTTCAAAGAAATTAACAGCATGGGCATGGCAGTAAATATTGTGAAAAAAACAAAAGAAGAAGGACGAAGAAGCAGAAGGGTGGGGACTCAACATTGGAAGTGCACTCTGTTTATCTATTAACAGATTAGTGCCACCAAAAAAATTAGATCGACATTAAGCCTAGCCAAGGAAACCAACCAGACGCATGAGTTGACACCAGAAATGAGTAATTCAAAGACATTCTCAATGAAGATATGAACACTTTTTTTTTCTTTTTTATTGCTTCTTCCTACAACGAAGATTGGACGTGGCTATTGCTTGAATTGACTTTTTACTTTTTACTTTTTGCTTACTAAAACCTTACAGTTAGTGCTTTTTGACTCTTTATAAACCGAAAACACTTGAAACTTTCACAAAATGCAAATGTTTGATATGTAGGTTGACAAATGATATCATCGTAATCTTTTGAAATTTAAATAATATTTTAATTTGTTGGGAAGAAACAAAGTACTTTTTGTTTTCAATTAAGCTGAAACAACAGATGATCTGGCCAAAAAGCTTTAACTCAACTTTTTATCATCCAAGCTAAATGTTATTACCAAGAACGAACTCATGGAAACCAGTTACAACTACCACAATGCATAGAAACTACAAGTCAAAAAGCTGAGTACATACAATACTACCATTACAACTGTTGCGGATCCTTAGCAGATTTTTAGGATTTAGATTTTTACCTATTTCAGTTAGGATTTGTTTTTAAAATTCTTCTTATCATTAGGGATAAATATCTTATTTATTTTCCTTGTATTTTGGGATCTTATTGTTTTTCTGTTCCTAGAGATAAGCTTCTATAGCTTATAAATTTGTAAGTAGCGATTCAATCAATAACATAGTTTGGCTAGTCTTTTCTCCTTCAACCAACTCAACATGGTATCAGAGCGTGGTTGTTCTGATCTGTAAAGTTGAGAAAAAACCATGGTAAAGACTGCCAGGACACGGGGAAGCAGAGGAGCAGACTCGGATGGTTCTACGATCATCTCGTCCTCCTCTACAATTGCTCCCACTCCCTTTCCTTGATCAATCCCTCTCCTCTCCTCAAATTACCTCACTCAAATTAAATGGAAAAAACTTCCTCTCTTGGTCTCGGTCAGTCCTAATGATCGTTAAAGGAAGGGGTTGTTACGAGTTATTAAGAGTTATTTTATTATTATTTACTATCATGTGTGGGAATGTCTACCACATTACTATGTACCCTTACTATTAGTATAAATAAGAGAGCATGCTAACCTAGAGGGTTAGACAATTCATTCATCCCCTTCTCTTCTTTTCTTCTTCTTCAAACATGGTATCAGAGCCAACCCTAGCCGCCGCCCCAACCTAAATCCTAACCCTAGCCAGCGCCACCATCACCACCACCATCACCGTCACCACCATCTGCTCTCTCTCTCTCTCTCTCTCTAATCTAATCTCTAGGCCTGCTTCTCTTTTTGTCGGTCATTCTCTTCTTCCAGATCTGATCTAGTTCTGATCAAGGATCTATGAAACGGTGGAGCTTGTGATCTCTTTCTTTAATCTAATTTTCTAATTAATTTGGTGTGACTAGATTAAGTACGCATCATTATGTCAAGTGGTTCTGAGACTCCGATAGATGCTGCTGTTGAATCCGGTGAGACTGGATTAGCCATGAATAGATCTGGTGCGACTGGATCTGATGTGATGCGGTCACAAGCTCCGACCTTTATATCTACTTCGTCTAAGCTCGTCGAATGTGTTTTGACGGGACAGTCTACATACACACTTTGGAAGAAGAATGTTTTCAAGAATTTGCACGGACAGCGGTTATCTCATCATCTTACTCAGCCTCCCCCGAGCAGGGATGACCCGACTTATGATGAATGGTACACTGTTGATTGTCGTATTTATAGTCAACTATTGAATGCTATGGATATTTCTGTTCAGACCGTTGTTAGCAATTCTGATACTGTTAAGGAGTTATGGGATGCTTTGGCAGATTTATACTCCTCTCTAAATGATTTCTCGCGACTCTATGATGTTGTGTGTGGGTTGTTGAAGCCGGCTTTTGCCGGTCGGCCTCTGCAGGGATATTATGAGGATTTTAAATCCTTTGCTGATGAATTTGATCGGTTAGTCCCGTTTACGTCTAGTCGGACTACTTTTCAAGAACAACGAAATCAGTTTCTGGTCACTTGCTATCTTAATGGGCTGGGAGCTGAGTTTGACACTGCTCGCTCACAAATCCTTTCAGATGCTCGAGTTCCTTCTCTTGGAGAAGTTCATCGTCGTGTTCTTCGTACTGCGAGTCGTGAGGAGGTTAAAGCCGCCCCCTCAGAGGTTGGTGAACAGGCTGCTGCTTTATATACGAACAAAGGAGGTGGCCGTGGCAGTGGAGGCCGTGACCGAGGGGGAGGTCGTGGTGGTACTGCCGGTCGTGGTCGGGAGACTCGTACTTGCAATTATTGTGGTATTATTGGACATCTTCGCAGCTATTGCCGAAAATTACAAGCTGCACAGGCAGCTTCTGGTTCACGAACCACATCTGCTCATGTTGCGCCTGAGAGCGTGCCTATGGACCAAAAGGTGATCTTGCTGAGGATGTTTATATGGAGCAGCCTCCAGGGTTTGCTGTTCAGGGAGGGAAAGTTTGTAAGCTTCGTCGCTCTTTGTATGGTTTGAAGCAGTCTCCTCGAGCATGGTTTGACCGATTCAGCTCAGTGGTTCAGACTTTTGGTTTGCTTCAGTCTCAAAAGGATCATGCAGTGTTCTATCGTCGTGCTACTACTGGGTGTATCTTTCTGGTTTTATATGTGGATGACATTGTCTTGACAGGGGATGATGAGCAGGGTATTGTTGAGCTGAAGAGATATTTACATACTCACTTTGAGACGAAAGACCTGGGTGATTTGAGATATTTTCTTGGCATAGAGGTGGCTCGAAAGAAAGAAAGTATTTCTTTGTCACAACGTAAGTATATTCTAGATATTTTGGCTGAATTTAACATGCAGCACTCTCGATCTGCAGAGTCGCCTATGGAATCGGGATTGAAGCTTCTTCCTGATCAGGGCGAGTTGTTTGAACACCCTGAAAGATACCGGCGTGTTGTTGGTAAACTAAACTATCTCACTACGATGACTAGACCTGATCTTGCATATTCGGTTAGTGTAGTTAGTCAGTTTATGGCAGCACCTAGACAACCACATTGGGATGCTGTTTTGAGGATTCTGAGATATCTTCGAGGTAGTCCCGGCAAGGGAATTGTTTTTGCCGCTCATGGTCACGCTCGCATGGAGTGTTATACGATGCTTGATTGGGTGGTTGCCCTACCGATAGGCGGTCTACCTCTGGATATGCTTTGTATGTTGGTGGTAATTTGGTTTCATGGAAGAGTAAGAAACAGGGACATTGTTGCGAGGAGTAGGCTTGAAGCAGTATCGGGCCATTGCTTGCAGCCACCGGCAGAGATTATGTGGACTAGACATCTTCCGAATGAGGTTGGATATGGGTTGAGTGGTCCTACTTCGCTATGGTGTGATAGTAGTTCAGCGATTCACATTGCTTCAAATCCTGTCTTTCACGAGAGAACAAAACACATT